ATATATATATATATATATATATATAGAGTACTATATATATATATATATATAGGTATATATATATAATATATATATATATAATAGAATAATATATATATATAAATAAACAACAACCAACCACACACACACACATAGACACTACACACACACACACAAACACAGACACAGACACAGACACAGACACACACATATATATATATATATATATATTATAATACTATATAGAGAGGGTGTTTGGTAGAGCCCATATAGTATTGTGTGTGTATGTGTATGGCGTGAGTGATGTTAGGGTTTATGGGGTTGACTTGCTAGTGTGCACAAGCGTAATTGGACCTTTGCAAAGGATAAGGTGTCACGAAGCTGAGGAGTTCAGCTTGATTCAGGAACGTCTCTAGAAGAGCTTGGAGGCGGAGCTATTAGTAGCGTCTCACATACGACCAGCACGATCCCGTACAGAAGGAGTGACTCATTGGGGCAATACAGCACACGATGCATATGTGCGTAGCCTATCCCCAGGCAGATCAATCAGTGCTATAGACACAGACACACAGTTTGCGCTGGGCATGTGGTGGAGAGGGTATATGGGGATGGCTCTGCAACGATGATCTTAGATGATCTAAACCAGACGTATAAATTGTAGCCGAGTGGCCCACTGTGTCTGCTAGTCTCTTTATAGATACACCACGGCCGTAGCACGAGTGCCAGGCGGATTTCGTCGTTGCTCTCACAGTGATATGGCGCAGAAGGGCCGGGCCGCTCACGACCGCTGTGCAAACGATGGTGTTGCACAGCACCTCGACGCTGGTAACACGTTATGTGCCGTGGGGTTAGTGTGGGGTTATGTGCTGAGAGGTGTCTCACTGTTCACATGGGTGACTTTGTTGGCAGTTGTACGCAGAGGAGACGGCATAATATACCAGTAGAATAGACCAGCCATTCGGCAGGACAGAATTGAACCTATCTCTATACCTAAAAGGGTGGGAGAACACGTATTGATTGATGTATGCCCAGGCTCAATGGCGTTAAACCTAAAACGCTGTGCTGAGGACAAAAGCGAGGCACGTGAGTGGTACTATTGCACTTCCCCTAAACGAGGTTTATGGCAGTGGGCGTAGTCGTGTGACAAGAGCCCTGTCCCATTGCGTGAAGAATAGGACCGCCGCGGCAATTTGCTGGCGAACGTGCGACTGCACTAGTCTGCTAAAGCGCTGCGGTACAGCGCATCCCGAACGGACTGTTACTTCGGTATCTATCACATGACACCTAGATGTACCACTGCATGCATGTTACGTCACATACATGACATGAAAGTGAGTTCCAGGTATAAAAATGATCTCAAAAACAGCAACAGACGGTGAATTGTCATAGACTCAAAAGATGGTCGATATTCATCTCTGTAAGGCCGTA